TCCTCCCCAGGTTTCCGTACTCATCCAAGTTCCCCCGTCTCGCCCTCACGTTCGTGATCATCCTCATCACCATCACCGTCTCCATCACCACCACCAAAACCACCATCGCATCAACCTCGTCATCTCCATCACCACCATCATTAGCAGCATCAGCAGCGAAAGCATCATCATAACCATGATCATCAACGTCATGATGATCAGCAGCTGCATCATCTTCGGCACCATCAGTGGTAACATAGCATAATCAACATCAGCGCTTTCAGAATAATCACCAACACCATCATCCTTTACCACCAACATGGCTGCCAACATCGGCATTTACATCAGAATTTGAAATGTCCGATGGCCCGCCCGATAACATTAGTTGGGGATGTCTCGGGCGAACCGCGACCATTGGTTGTTCGACGATTTCGACTCTTTGGCCCTTTCCAAGGGCGCCACCCAAAGATGTCTTAAAACAGCTACTTGACCATCTCGTGGTTTTGAGCACGTCTCAAGTGAGAGTGTCATTTCCGACGATCCGGAGGTTTCGCCACCGGTTTAACGATGTCTAGTTGAGGTCTATGTCCCTAGCGAGGGGGTCATGCATAACACAAGGGGGCGGAACGCAGCATTTTCAACATCCCACGTGTTCGAGGATGTCTCAGCTGAGAGCCACATTTTCAAAGACTCAGCGATTACGCCAGCGAGTTTAACATCCCCGCTTTGCGAGCAAGTCCCAAGCAACCGCCCATGGTTAGCATGCGACGTCTGAAACGATGGCCTCCAGCATCTCGATTTTGTGAGGGCATCACAGGCGGAAAACTAATGTTTCAAACCTGTCCTGGCATGAACGGGAAGCGCGTTAAAGCGAAGAGCTGTACCAGCACGCGCAGCATCACCACGATCAACTGCAATGTTGGCGAGCTCTCCGAGCGTGCACAACGGATGCCTATAAACACGCGCTCCCCGACTGCTCTCAAGCTTATTTCTGGTTCTCGTCCTCGCTCTTCTATATTCCTCCAGTTTCCTTCGTCTCGCCCTGACGTTCGCCATCATCATCTTTATCATCACCATCACCGTCACCAACAAGGGAATCACTGGGGGGCACTGGGGCCGATGGAAAGAATGGAAGATTGAGAAAGTTGAGGTAAGGGGAAAGGGAGGCAAAACAAGAGGCGAAACATCATTGTGCAGTGAGGGACAAGATGGAGCGGACCAGGGGGAAGGGGATGAAGCCGAGGCGGGGAGGATGATGATGAGAAGGCGCAGCAACACCAGGAGTTGAGGGTGTGCATATACATTATAGTGGTGGTGATGCGGTTGATGATGATGCTAAAGCTGGTGAGTATGATGGTTGTTACAATTTTGCTGTTGAGGGTGGTGATTATGCTGATGCTGACGTTGATGGTGATGCTGCTGGTGATGATGGCGATGCTGACAATGATGGTGACGACTATGATGATGCTACTGATGATGATGGTAACGATTAATGCTATAATAATGCGAATTTTATCTAAAATGTTGTTGCTGTTGTTGCTGTTGTCGATGTCGATGTCGATGGCGATGATGATGATGATGATGATGATGATGATGATGATGCTGCTGCTGCTGCTGCTGCTGCTGCTGGTGAAGATTATACCATCCCTTCCTTCCCAGGACCTCTCACGTCGTTTTCTTGTCCCTGCGTGGGCCCCCGGAGATCTCGACCCCTTCCCCAGGCCACTGTTCCATCACGGGTGGTCCGCAGGCGGCCCGGGAGTACAATGACTAAGGGCCCACGGTGGCAGACACGTGTGAAAAAGATGCCCGCCGTATATTTGTTCGCAACGCCAGGGAGGTCTGGGTTCCGTGCCCTCTTTCCTTCGCTTCCCCCTTCGCTCCCGTCCTCGATCTTCTCCTGCCTTCCATTCGAGGGGGATGTGATGGGATTCGGAAACAGGGGATTGGCGCCTCCAGCGCCTCCAAACGCCGGAGGCGCCAATGTGTAGAGGAACGCTCCCACTTGCACGCAGCAGATTTCGCCCCCCCCCCCTTCCTTGTCCCCCCTCCCTTAGTCCCACCCGATCCCCTCCCTCCCCATGGAACGCTCCTGCCCCTTCGCCTCCCGTTCGCCCCCTCCGCCTCCGATCCTCCCCTTCGCCCCCTCCCCCCCCCCGTCACCCTGCCGCCTTGGGGGCCTTTTTCGCGCCCCGCGCGCCCCTTCTTGGGAGCCGGCGCCCCACGCCGCTCACACCCACGCGCTGCGGGACTGCGGAACCCGAGGCGGGGTCAGACAGGGAGGCGAAGGGGGGGGGGCAGGGGAGGCAGGGAAGCGAAGGAAGGGGGGGCGAAGGGGCCGCGGAGCCAGAGGGGGAGGCGAAGGGGGGGGGGGGAGGTTCGGTCTCTCTACACCACGAGCGACACTCTACAATCGAGATTGGCCACTTTACAAACAGCAAAGCATCGAATTCCTTGGCTTTCTTTTGAGAGCGACCACCCAGAACGGCCCACTTTACAACCAGAACGACCACTTTACAACCCAGACGGGGCTCTTTGCAACCAGAACGGTCAGTTGACAACCAGGCTTCGGAAGCGCGCGCGCGCGCTCGCGCTCTGCAGAAGCTTCTGAAGCTTCTGACCGCCTGAATGCTCTGTAGAATCATCTGAGCGCCTGAGCGCTTAGAAGATGCTTCTGAGCGCCCGAACGCTGTGCAGATGCATCTGAGCGCATGAGCGCTCTGCGGAATCCTGAGCGCCTGGGCGCTCTGCAGAGGCTTCTGAGCGTCTGAGCGCTCTGCAGTAGCATCTGAGCGCCTGAGCGCTCTGCAGCGGCTTCTGAGCGCCTGAGCCCTCTGCAATAGCATCTGAACGCCTGGGCGCTTCGCATAGGCATCTGAGCGCATGAGCGCTCTGCAGAATCCTGAGCACCTCAGCGTTCTGCAGAAGTTTCTGAGCGCCTGAGAGCTCTGCAGAGGCTTCTGAGCGCCTGAGCGCTCTGCAGAGGCTTCTGAGCGCCTGAGCGCTCTGTCTGAGCGCCTGAGCGCTTTGAAGAGGCTTCTGACGCCCGAGCGCTTTGCAGCGGCATCTGGGCGCCTGAGCGCTCTGCAGAATCTCCTGAGCGCCTCAGCGTTCTGCAGAGGCTTGTGAGCACCTGAGCGCCCTGCAGACGCTATTGAGCGCCTGAGCGCTTTGCAAAGGCTTCTGGGCGCCTGAGCGTTTGCAGAGGCATCTGAACGCCTGAGCGCTCTGCAGAAATCCATGAACGCCTGACCTCTCTGCAGAGGCATATGAGCGCCTGGTCGCTTTGCAAAAGCTTCTGAGCGCCTGGGCGATTTGCAGAGGCTTCCGAGCGCCTGAGCGCTCTGAAACCTGTGCAAAGCAAACACAAAGCAGCTCGCGGTGCCAAACATGCAAATTAGAATCCGAATGCGTTGGCTCAAATTTAACAGAAGATTTCTTGGGCATTTCCGCTCTCCTGGGTACGCATGCTTCCGCACTTGCGCAACCATGCGGTCTTGCGATTGCCAGAGGAGGGGGCGCGCGGACAAACATGGCCTATGATGCAAACAGCGCAATTTGAAATCCACACGCATTGGCTAGATGTCGACCAACAATTGCTTGGCCACATTTCTGCCTTCCTGGGTACGCACGCTTCCGCGAATACGAAAACATGCGGTTGTTCTAATGCCAGGCGATGAAGCGCGAGGACGAAAGTTGTCCCTGAGGACAAAAACGATAAATTGTTATCCACACGCAGTGGCTCGACTGTTGCCATCGTTTTCTGTGCCACATGTCCGCCTTCCTGGGCACGCATGCTCGCAATTGCGAACACATGCGGTTTGCGTGCTTGTCAGACGGTGAAGCACTAGAACAAACATGGCCTATGATACCCAAAACCGCGCAACTTGAAATCCACATGTGTTGGATGGAATGGTACCGTCGATTTCGTTTCCACATTTCCGCCCTCCTGGGTACGCATGCGACCGCGAATGCGTTTGCTATTGCCAAACGATGAGGCGCGAGGGCTAAAATGATCTGTAAGGTGAAACGCACAGATAAAAATCTACATTTACCGGCTAGAACTTTACCATCGATTTCTTGGCAACATGTCCGCCCTCCTGGGTGCGCATGCTTCCGCCACTCTGAAAGCATAATGCGTTTTTTCGCTTGCCAAACGATGGGGCGCGATGATAAACATTGCTTCTAATGCTAAAATACCCGATAGCCACGCCTCGGGCGCCGCTGAGAACGCTTCATAACAAACGTTGGCGTCATGAGCGAAGCCATTGGGCTTTGGAACCCGCGCTTCTCTGTGGATCGTGGAGCCTCGGTTCTGGGCCGTGCTGGTACCCGAACGTCGGCACCTGCAACTGTCCGTTGCGATCATGAAATTTGTGTCTGTTGGGGTGGCCCTAGTGACACCAGCTGGACATGTTACGCTGCTCGCCGGATGTGGCGGCGACACTGATTCACGACATTGTTAAGACTTCGGCCGATAGGTATTCTCATACATGCCGTGCTCGGCAATGCTGGGGCCTTTGACACCCACCAACCGCAATGATGCGTTGTAGACGTTGTCGCTCATGCGTAGCTGGGACAATCTTTATTTGATTCGTAACTCGTGAAACTGAATTCCTGATAATGGCACTACACTTCCAGCTTCCGTCTGGACAGTGTAATGGTTGTCGACCCTGGGCCAGCGAAACTGATGCTGCATCACGTGAGAGATGGGCGTAGTCGTGCCGGGCTGCTTCATAGTAGGATGTTGCATCCTCGGAAGCCTTTGTGTTTCGCCTGGGTGCGAGACGCAATACATCATGGACGTCATGGAACAAGACATCATAAAGCTCACCGGTCTGCTACAATACTAACGAGGGAGATGCCTACCAAGAGTCTGTCGCAACGTTGACAGCCAGAAGTGGAGTCGCGCAACGGAGACATTCGACTACTAGAGCATCAGATCTCAAGAAGATGACGGCTACGTATAATATGGATACTTACTATGTCGGAGGCGGAGTGGCAGGGACGAGAGAGGTAGTGGGATGAAGCACGGGGGGAAGGATGAATGGGGAATGGAAGAGGAGGACAGATCGCGCTCACACCCACTCGCCCATCTCCTCGTACACGGCCAAGAGCTGCTCACCCCCGTGATGCCAGTCGTGCAGGCTGACATGAAGATCGACGCATCCAGCCCCGACTCCGAGCAGGACCTCTTGGGTATGGATCGTCGCGTCGCGGTCACCAGGATAAAATATGTCGTCCATAGGATAGCGAACGCAGAACCTTGGAGCTTGTGGGAAGAACTGAAGCAACTTGTCGTAGTCGGGAAGAACACCAGACCACCACGGGATCTCAGCAGGGGTCCTGCAGCACACGACCATAAACCGTCCAGTACTTCGCCGAAACAGCAGGAGTGACAGACGTGCACGCGGCACCTTGATGTTTTCCATAGCCAGCGTGCCCCCATCATCGCCACGCAGTGATGGCGGGTCTAGGCAAAGATGTGACTCTGACAGAGCCACACTCGACTTCAGCGTTGCCCTGTCTTGTGGTGGCTGGATCAGACTTGTGGCCATGACCCCCGCAAACATGCTCCGCCCGTCGACCTCAAAGTCCACAACGAGACTGAGGTCCTGAGGGCAACAGCGACCACATGGATCGGTGACGTTCGCCCCCGCAGCATAGGGGGGGGGAAAGAAGGAAAGTTCGGGGGGGAGAGGAAGCGGCCGAATGCCACGTGGAGCCGAAACCAGTCACAAGGACTGAGTAAGGAAACAACGCGCCGAAACAGCGCCACGCCAGGGGTACCCTACTCTTCGAAAGGGGAACCAGAAGATGTGGCAAGCACGCCCAGGAACGAGGGATGCAAGGCTGCCTCGTCTCAAAGACTTATCATCACGACCTGCTTTGACAATCGCTGTGGTTTCAACAGCCATAAGTCCTCCAAGAGTTCCCTGTACGGTGTAGACCCGCGAATTGGCCCGCGGCGTGACCTGGTGACGCCGCTCTGCGACAGGCGCTGCAGCTCACACCTCCGCCTGCAAAGGTCGAAGTGGCCCCGGCACAGGAGCGCCTCGCTGGGCAGCTCGAGCGTGCTCGCCCACTGCTGCCTTGCGACGCTCCTCCACAAGTGGTCCGACATGATGTCGCGGTGAGCCTGGCGACTTGCGCACGCAGCTCGCCCCAGAGTTCTGCAGTCGAGGTGCGCGGCGGACAGGAGCAGCAGGGGGTCGCACGCTGCAGACGCACGCTCTGCCGGCGCAGAGCGGGGCGCTGCGGCTGCCCGACAGGGCCTCTTCGGGGAGGGAGAAGCAGCTGCGCCCTCCATGGGGGGGGGGTCCTTGGGACCCAGTCTACGCCACGAAAAACTATACACAGACACCCGCCGACGAGTCCAACCAGCCCTCTGGGCGTAGGTGGTCTAGGGAGTTTCCTCTTCCAACCCCCTTCTTCCCCTTCGGGGAGGGGTTTTCCCCTCCCCCCTAATCCCCTCCCCTGGACCTGGACGGGGCGCCCCGCGAGGTGTCAGAGGGTATTTTGTTCGCACAAGATGGCTCCAAGAGGGCCTCGGAGAGCCCAAGTTGATCTCCAAGATGGCTCAAGATAGCCCAGGATGCCTCAAGTCGGCTCCCAAGATGCTCCAAGAAGCCACAAGAACGCTCCAAGATGGCTCCAAGACGCCTCCGAGACCTCAAGTAGGCCTCCAAGAAACCGAAACCCGTCCAAAACCTACGGAAAATCACAATATGCTGCTTTCTCGCCTGTTCGCTTCAGATGGCCATCCGAGGCCTCAAGATGGCTCCAAGATGGCCCAAGAGAGCCCCAGGAGAGGCCCAATAGAGCACCAAGACGGCCCCCAGAGCGCCCCAGAGCGCCCCAAGGACGCTCCAAGAGGGGTCCAGGAGGCGATTTTCGGTGCTCCCGAGGGAGGACGCTAATTGGAGCTCCCCTCTTTTTTGACCGATGTCCTCCAAGATGGCCCCAAGATCGCACCTAAAGCTCCCGAGAGCGGCCCAGGAGGCCCCAAAAGGCGCCCAGACATCCCCAAGAGGAGCCCAAGAGGCTCCCAAGAAGCTCCCCCCAAAAACCCATACGAGGCCTCAAGAGGATCCCCGAGGTACCCAACTCTCCCTTCTTCTCCTCGTCCTCCTTCTCGTGCTCCTCGTCCTCGTCCCTCCTCCTCCTCCTCCTCCTCAAACGACGACGGCAACGACAACGACGACGACGACGACGCTTCATCCTCCATCCCCCCCTCTTGGGGTATATGACGGCGGCTTCCTCCGCCCTTTGTTCTTCTGCATGCTCCCCTACTTCCCTGATCACCTCAACTCCCCTGGGCATCGTTTCTGGATGGGCTGGTGGGGATACTTTTTGAACGCGACCGTAGCGACAAATCGCTCGGCGTCAAGTCAGCTGGTGGGGATAGTTTTTGGTCTGCGGGCTCGCGAAGCAGGTCGAATGCCGTCCGAACACTAAGCTGGTGGGGATACTTTTTGGTCGCGTCCGCAAGCGAAGGCGCAAGCGGAGTCAGAGGCGTTCCGGGGCGCGGTAACGGCCTAATTAGCTGCTGAAAGCGCCGCAGGCCGACTGGTGGGGATACACGAAGCGTCAACAATTTTTCCTGTACCCTTAGGGGGGTGGCGGTGTATACTATCGCTCGCCCTGAGTGGTGATGACACCACCGCCAACCCCACCCCCTGAGGCCCATGAACCATCCACTGCGGGGCGTCTATGTAGATATTTCTGTGGCGGGCAAGTGCACGGCTGGGAAGGACATGCCTCGCATGCGCGTCGGACGCTTTCTCGACCGCGACTAGAAGCCATAACGGCGCCGGCTCCGAAACTGTGGAACAAGCAGGAAGAACAAGATTGGGGACACCAGCAGCAAGAGCATGACGGTGACAAGTTTGTGGATTTCCGTGTAAACGCACACAGACCACCAAGAGTGCCAACGCACGTGGCTGAAACACGCTTACGAGCACCTCCAACACATGCACGCCGCTGAGACGCACATCCGTGCGTTGCCGCGACGTGCAGTGCTTCATCGTGGGCCCGACCTCCATCTCATATGGCCATGAGGGCTGCACTTGTTGGGCCCATCTGCGACCCACTCGTTGCACCCATCCGCTGCCCCTTCTGCAGTGCCATTGCCTCCCGTACGGGAAAAGCGTCCCGAGGTACACGGGCCCTGGACACCCAGCGGCTTCCCCTGGACCGATTTGTGTTCATGTTCATCTGAATCATCTTTTTTTCCAAGGCGGAACAGCCGTCCATGGCCGTAGACGCACCGTGCGCGTAAGCATGGAGGTCTACTGCAAAGGACGCGCCGGTTCGGGTGGCCCCACGGGCGCCCATTGCTTCGCCATGCAGGGGGATGAGGAGGGAGGAGGGAGGAGCGAAGGGAGGAGGAGAGGAAGGGAGGGAAGGAGGAAAACGACAGCACGATAACTGCCACGCCTGGAAGGCCCAGCCGGTCGATCTGAATCGATTTGGGGCCCGAGAGGGACTACGGGAGGCCGAGCTCAACTCCCGCAGGACAGTCTTGTCTTCACGGCGGCCCGGGGACATCCGCCCCGGCCTCGAACCTCTCCAGGTTCTGCCTGCTCCGCCTGCGACGCCCTCATCCTCGACATCCTCCTACTCCTCCTTTTCTTCGGCAGGCTACTGGGCGCGAACACCCGACCTACCTCTCCTCTTCCTCCTCCTCCTCCTCCTCCTCCTCCCCTCCTCCTCCTCCTCCTCCTCCGTTCCTCTTCCTTATAAAGAACTTCTCCCTGTCGCACCCCGAGGCCTGTTTTTAGGGCGGGCCGGTCGTTTCACCTGAGCCTTCCTCACCATGCAATACCCTGTCAACTTTCTGAGGCTGACAACAGTTTCACACATGGAAGGCAGGTGATTTTCAAACTGTGGCTCTCGCCTGAGCGCCGCGCACATTCGTTTTAAGTATTTGCAACCGTTTCACAAATGGAGGGCGTGTGATTTTCAAACTATGGCTCTCGCCTTACCGCCGCGCACATTCGTTTTAAGTGTTTGCAAGAGTTTCACGGATTGAGGGCGGGCCGTTTTCAACATGTGACTCTCGCCTTAGCGCCGCGCACATTCGTTCTCACAATCTGCAAGAGCTTCACGGATTGAGGGTGGGTCATTTCCAAAATGTGGCTCTCGCCTGAGCGCCGCGCACATTCGCCTTCAAAATTCGCAAGGTTCCACGGATTGTGGGCGGTTCCTTATCAAAATGTGGCTCTCGCCTCAGCGCCGCGCACACCCGTTTCAATTGCAAGAGTGCCACGGATTCCCATAGTCAGCATACCAAAAATAGTGTTTGTTGGAAGAAGTCAGGATTATGAAGGCGCAGCAGTTACGTTGATTCGCTGTGTTGAAGTGGAATGGCGTCCTGACGCGATTCAAGATCGTCGAGACGCAACAATCAGGTTGATCCGTGGCGTTGGAATTCTGAGAACATTGTTTTGGCATGCTTCAGGGTCTTCAAACGATGGTCTTCCAACGAGGCAGTTCCCTCAGTGGAAATGAACCGTTGTAGGGGCCTATGAAGAGGGAGCTTGGAGGGAGGGTTCATTCCAACATCATGACTCTTGGGTTAACACTGGTCCTCCTCCTCCTCCACCACCTCCTCCACCACCTCCTCCTCTCTCTCTCCCCCTCCTCCTCCTCCTCCTCCTCCTCCTCCACCTCCTCCTGGGCTGCGTTCTGGCCAGATTGTCGAGGGGGCCAACCGCGGCGACGAGACCCAAGGACCGAATCTACAGCAGAAACGCTGGCAGCAAAAAAGCTCGTCTGCACGCATCTCTCCACGACGGGCATCTGTCGCACACAGCCGAGCGGAAGAGTGAAGAGCGCTTGGCAAACAGGTCTGCGGCCGGCAGATATTTCAGGGGATGACCTGATGTGACGGGCAGGTCCCTCCTTTCGCCCTGGGCTCGTTCAGCATCTCTCCCTCACTTCTTTGACCACGGGGAAGGGGAGGAGAGGGAGTAGGACAAGGAGGGGAGTCTCCTCCTCAGCCTGCCCCCCGTCCTGT